TGATTTTGAGATTACTGGAACACAAAGAACTGTTTAGGAGGATACAGCCTGTAGGTGCCCACGTGCTTCAAAAGGACAACAGAGTTCCTTTAGGCCAGACTGCAAATATACAGAAGACAGAGAACCGGTCAAATGACAGGTGCAACTTCCCACACTTGATTGCTGTGAAATGAGATAAGTCCATTAATTTCCCACCTTCTGTATTCATAAGCTTCTCCCCTTCCTTATTCTTATTTTCTTTCCTTTCGGTTTTAATCCTTTTAAAGTTTTAATATTTTTAAAGGACTTTAAAAATAACCATGTCTGAATTGTTTCAGGTCTCTTATTTTTGTGATGTGTTTGGATTGAAGGAAAGAAAAAGTAGCTCTATTTAGTTTCACAATTAAGATTTATGACTTCCCTAAATTCAAGTGTCAGATGATTTTAAAAATTTAGCTGTTTTGTTTTGGTGTCCTGCTTTCACACTGAAGAGCAGAACCTGCAATACTGTCTATTTAAAAGACAAAAGAAGCAGCAGTAACAACTTGCTCCGTGATTCAGAGACAGGTTTAGTGTGTTTGCAGTACTTTGAGATTTACAGACTATCTCTGGGATACTACTCCTAGCCATTGCCTTCTCTCTACCTTTAGTGAGTCTGAGCACTCTTGGGGGTTGGAACATTGTTATCCTGTGGGAAATGCCGAGATTATTTAGGATTTTAAATAATCTTGCTTTTTTCTCTTGTCAATGATGGGGAAGTTTGGGTAGGTAGTTATACTTTGTTGTAAACATTTGAATTAATTTTTTTTTTTGCTAATGAGTAAACTGGTTGTTAGCAAGCTTGTTATAGATTGCTACTAAGAACATTGACTTTTGCAGTGTAAGTTGTTACAATTAAATTTTAAATATGTCAGCTAGAAATAATGACCTCTAACTGATGTAAAAAATATTACAGCAACTTAGTTATTATTTTTCTTTTGAGTTGAGGTCCTTACGGGTCAATACCCTGAAATAAACTTGATGTAGTTTTCTTGGACAGATTAAAAAATATGTAAAAGAAAGTTTAGTGGACTTGTACTATAATTAAGGCATTTAATGTCCAATAATAAAGGCTGTTAAAATGTGGCAACTGAGAGTTTGGCTGTGTGTGTAGCAAGATGTAGGATTGCTTTTTGAGACTCTGTAGCTATGCTATGGCTTTTGTGCTGGAGAACATCCCAGATTTGCTTATACTCTGTGCAAACAAGATATGGGATAAGAGAAATTATTAAAAAAATGTATTTTTTTTCTATTTTTTCTATTTTTGGAAAAGCAGAAGCATAAAATTTTAATAGTATAAATATCACTTTGACCTCCCCTGACAGGACTGGTTTATGCTAGATCATTATCTGGCACATAAACAGTGGCCCTGATAGATTGATAATTGTTTGTAAGATGAGAGACAGGGTTTTTTCTTGTCTTTTTGGACAGGATTTCGTTATGCAGTTCAGTTTGACCTTGAGCTCACCTTGTAGCCCAGGCCAGCCTTGAACTTGTAGCCTTGAACTTGTAGCCCAGGCCAGCCTGCCTCAGCCTCCTAAGTGGTGGGATTACAGGCACATGCCACCACACCAGGCCAAGAGACAAAATGGAATGTTTTCATTCCGTTGTTCTGTTTTCAATAGTCATAATTTTTAGATAATTAGTAGTGATGGTTGAAGAAATGTTCTCAATAGCTTTTAAAACCACTAGAGTTTGTTGTCATGTAACTTTAAAAGGAAGTTTGAGTCATAATATTTATCCTCTTATGTAAGATTCTGGTATAAAAATCTCATCTGTAAATAAGTTAAATGAGAAAGTTATTTTACAAGATACAGTATTTATAAACATTTCATGATCTTACATTTTTATTTGAAAATATGAAATACAAAGAAAAACAGGCATTAATAGTTTTAATTGAATGAAAAATTAAAAAGGAAGATAGTGATGAATGAGTTAATAGAGTTCTAAACTTAAGACAGCAGAAATATGAAATGGCCATGCTGGTTTTTTAGGGATTAATTTCTTCATCCAAATCTAAGCTCAGAAGAAAAGTTTCGCATCAATCACCTTTAGCTGCACCAATAAACTTCAGCTTATGCTTGCGAAGACACAAGTGTGTTTGAGCTTCAGAAAGTAAAATTAGTGTGAGGAATTCAGTCCTTCTGGAAAATTCCAGATTTCAAAATAGATTTCCACAGATAAATGACTTTTCTGAGATGATATTGTATCTATTTCTATAAGCCATTTCACCTGGACTAAGTAGTCCTAAAGCAAGAAAAAAAATATTAAAGTTTAAATTGACTGTGTAGGTTCCCTACTATTACAGAGTTTGATTTTTTTTCAACCTCGTCAATGACTTTGTGTCATTTCTGTGTTTGTAAATGACTATTTGTCCTGTATCAGCCATGTATTAACAAGTCCGCCCACTTATGGAAGAGAGGGATGTAGAAGCTGTGTCTGTGAGTAAAGGAATACCTCATGTTCAGTGGGTTATTGTGATAAAAATAATATTTGAGATAAAATAGTAATCCTTTTAACAAGAAGATTATAGGAGATATGTCCATCCTGGGGTGTTCTGATAAAAATAATATGTGCATGGCTAGGTTTATAGAGATATTGTTATGCATATAACTAAGTGAAGAGGTACATGGATAAAATTAGGTTTGACTAATGAAGATTTTGATCATTTACACTCAGATACACAATGTATAAAACTTGTTACAAATTAAAAGGTAAGAAGCACACTAACCATTTAAATACAGCTAGATACAACATTAACATGAAAGGGAGTACAAACACTGCTCCCTTGTGACAGACTGATTTATTTTCTGGGTATAATTTTGGAGAATTATCCTTGATGCCATCCTCACCGTGTCTGAGAAGGATGTTTTCCCCTAGGAGCTGTCATTCAGGTGGAAGTCTAAAGTGTTTCCAATCCATAGTGGCAGATGCACTGGTAGGTCTTGGGAAGAGCTCCCCAGGGCTGAGTGTGGCCTTTGCTGGGAACCGGTTTCTGTCTCTTTCTTAATAGCGCATAAAGTTCCAGTACCAATTCTTGCTCCACCCAGCTCCACCCAGGGTTATTTGCATTTCCCTTTGTCTTCTTTACAGAGCTCTTTGCTACCTGGACTGGAAGAAGCCAGAGGAATTGTTATGGTTTGATATTAAATGTCCCCTAAATGCCCTATGTTGAAGGATTGGTCACCAGTTTGTGGAGTTATTGGAACCTTACCAAACCTTTAGGAGGTCAGGCCAAATGGCAGGTAGTCAGTTCACAGGAGGCATGCCCTCTTAGGGGCTGTTGGGATTCCATCCATTTTTCCCTTTCTTTCCTTTGTATTCCCAAAGCAGTTTTGTGACCCCTCCAAACAGCTTTGTTCTACCACACACTCCTTCCTGTGGTATTCTGCCCTATCAGACAGCCAAAAGGAATGGATCCAATGGATTGTGGACTGAAACTTCTGTGCCCATGAGACAAAATAAATCTTTCCTGTTTTTGATTATTTCAGCTGTTCGATCGCAATGATAGAAAACTGACAAGGAACTGGCTGCCTCTGCACAGATGGTATGTTGCTGCTTCTTTTCATAATTGTTTGTTAAAATATACTTAAACTGGCCTATTTTTCAATATCTCTCCCCTTGAGGTAGGACAATTGGGAAATATGGGTTTTACCATGTTTACTAAGTATTGTCAAGGACATGAAGGTGTGGTCCATTGTTTACAGTGAATATCTCTTGTTTTCTACAATCTCTGAAATGTATGATAATGTTTTAATGTTAGTAACATTTGCTGTGGCTATGTTTCTTTGTTTGGCTCTTTTTCTACTCTTTAGCTGTTGAGAAAGAGTGATCCTGTCCTACTCCTTATTCCCCATGATGACCAAGCAAGAACCTCGTCCTTCCTCTATCTTACTGGCAGTCATGATGCTCACAGAGAAGACATTGGAAGGAAGTGGAAGAAGGTGGCTAAATTCTGAAAGCCTTTGGTTTTGACAGAGCAGTGTGCCTTACTGGAAAAGGTAAGAGGTAGAGAATGAGGAATAGTTTTTCTATATGTATAAACTCACTTCAGTGACTGCTGAGGGTTGCCATAGGAAGATTTTTACCCTATTCAAATGCACAGAGAAATATCTTCAAAGCTAAATGAATATCCATAGTTTAGATTATTAACTTTGAAGTAATTTTGAAACCATGTGTTAGCAACTATGAATGTACTAAATAGATGTTAGATTCATAATAAATGTCAAATCAATGAAAAAAAATCTGATTATTTGGTGTGGATAGGGAAAAATAATAGATTCACATGAACGTGTATGAGCATATGCATGTGTGTGTGCAGACACTATTAAAAAGTAAATGATAATATGACCCAATAATTATGACAATATTACCCAAAAATTAATAATTGCTTTAGTAATAATTATGCCTAAGAGATTATTACACAACTCTGACATATTTTAGGAAAGGCCAGGTACTCAGAAACTCCTATATATGCCTAACTTAGAACTTTTTGTAAATCCTCAGTATTTAGAACATTCCATAAGATAGCTCATATTTTGTTGCCCAGTGAATGCTTTATAACTTCCTAATAATATTTGGTGAGAAGTCTCATTGCCAGACTAAAAATATATATATATATGTATATTAGGCAACAAGGAAGGCCATGCAAATAAATATATCTTTTTTGCATGTTAGCCTATGAGATTTCAGCATTTCCTTCATTATCAACTACAGAAGACTCTGTGCTATTGTGTGCAAGTCACATAGGATCTGGACCAAACTCAGTTCAGCTATTTATTAAAATTCATGATTCTTATTAAGAAAATGTGATTGCAGTCCTTATGTACTTTTGATGGTTCTGGGATTGGCGTTGCATACATGATTTTATAAAGGGAGAATAATTCTGATCTTTCAAAATTGAATATACAAAGCATTTTCAACTAATGTTCTAACAAATTTTCAGCAGGGATATTTGAAATTGCTGCACTCTCTTCCAGAAAATGGTTGATGTTTTGAAGAGCATCTTTACAATCATTTTATCTGCAGAATCCATAATTGGAATTGTAGGAAATGTCTTCATAGCACTGGTGAACTGTATGGACTGGATCAAAAGAAGAAAGATCTCTTTGGTTGATCAAATCCTTACTTCTTTGGCGATCTCTAGACTTGGTCTACTCTGCTCAGCACTGACACACACAATGTTATATACAGTACACCCAGATTGGCTAAAGACTGAAAAAATGTTAAGAATGTTTATTATTGCCTGGGTTGTGACCAATCATTTTAGCATCTGGCTTGCTACATGCCTCATCCTCTTTTATTTTCTCAAGATAGCCAATTTTTCTAACTCTATTTTTCTTTACCTAAAGTGGAAAGTCAAAAAAGTGGTTTTAGTAGCATTGCTGATTTCTCTGGTTCTCTTATTGTTCAATATTATAGCTATAGACATACAAATTAATGTCTGGATGGATAGATCTAAAAGAAACGTATCTTACACTTACAGTTTGAAGAACTTTAAACAATTGCCCAGACTTCTTTTATTCTACAGCTCTATGTTCATGCTCATACCCTTTATTATGTCCTTGATAGCCTGTGTGCTGCTCATCTTCTCCCTATGGAAACATTGGAAGAAGATGCGGCACAACGCTAAGGGGTCCAGAGATGCTGGCACCGCGGCCCACATAAAAGCCATGCAAACTGTGATCACCTTCCTCCTACTTTACACCATGTACTTATTCTGTCTCATCATGCAGATTTCTAGCTTTGAATTTTTGGAGGAAGAAAACATCCTTTTTTTTGAACATGCTATAGGAATTGCTTTTCCTTCGGGGCACTCCCTTGCTTTGATTCCAGGAAACAGTAAGCTGAGACAAGCCTTTCTTTCAGTGCCGTGGTGTCTGTGGTGCAGGGCCAAAGGTTGAGAATGTTTAGGTCTGTAAAGCATTTCAGGATATTTTGCATATTCTTGAGGAAGATTCGTTTACAAGAAAATCTTTGGTTTGTGAATTTATAGTTTTCCAATATTCTTTCTTTTTTAATTTTATTTTAAAGAGAAAAAAAGAAGACGAAAACAATAAAAAGACAATAATACAAAATTTCAAAGCACAATTTTAAAACAAGATAGCAATGGTTAATATATTGAGTAGTGTTATTGACAAATTAGTTGCTCAGATTAAAAGATATAGGCATGCATAATTGATCAAACAATATAAGCAGAAACCATGTTTTCAACTAACTAAATAAAGTCAGTAGTATAACTATCTTATCTATCTTATGTATATGTATATATATATTTTTTCCCTTCCTTCTTTTAAGACCCAATATTCTTTCATTGTATTTAATTTATGAACTTTATAGATGTGTGTTTGGAATAAACTCTAACCAAACACATTGCAATGTTAGCAGTACATTTACAGGTATATGTATTTATATACACAGAAGGATGACCATATACAATGTTTAAGGATAAGAGATCATATGTATATATATACACACATATATGGAGAAAGAGAACTTTGGGCCATCATTACCTTTTGAGATTTTAATATGAGAAACCTATAATACACAGGATAAATGTGCATATGCATGCGTACAAAACATAGTTATTAAAAAGCAAAGTTTGTAGAGTAGTACCGAGGTCTCCGAATTTAATTCATTCCAAGGTTCTGGGGAAGATGGCCATGTCATGTTTGTGCAGGGAAGATGGTGGCTGCCATTTTCATCACCGAAGGTGGAGTTCATAAACAGAAACAAAATTATGCCAAACTCTTTTGTTTGCAAAATGAACAGAACAGAATTTCATGAACAGAAGCAGTCATGAACCATTGTGTTACTATATTTCTATCCATAGAGAAGAAAATTTCTAATGTAGGTTTACCAACATTTTAGAAATGCAGAATAAAATAAGACTGTTGAATATTACTCTAAATGCATAATTTCAAATATACATCCCAACATGAGAATATTGTTTAAAAAATTATCTGAATTATTAAGTTGTTTTACTTCAGTGTTCTGATCTATATTATTAGTTTTGAATTCAAGAATTCTTGGAATGTAATTATTATTATTAGATACATGCTTGTATTTGAAATTACTGGAGGTTGACCTAAGATGTTCACACTGAGGTATTTTCAAGACATTTTTAAATTTTAAATTTTGAGACAGAATCTCCCTAAGTCATTAAATTTTCTAGGTTGGAGTTGAACTTGCAATTTTCCTGTCTCAGCCTCCTGGAATTTTGTAGTTACAGACATGACCAACTGGCTATATCACTTTTTTTTTTCAGTGTTGTTTTCAGGTATATTCCACAGTGCATTTTAATTTGAATACAGAAGAATTGCAAATTACAACTGGGGATTGTGTTTCAGTTGATCGTGCCATTAGGATAATGTTTTAAGTCATTTTTTATTTTATCATGTAACTGGATTTTACTATAGGCTAAAACAACTAATTTTTCACTTGAACAGAATTTTAGAATAATAGCTAATAGAAGACCACCATACAATTAACATGACAAGTTTAATGACGTATGTAATATTAATATATGTTGTTTGGTAGATATAAAAATAATTTAATAAAATAAGTGAAAAATTCTAAGAATTTTGATTTGTGTACTGGAGTGCAAAGAGAGAAACAGGGTCATTTGATCTGTGTTCAATAATGCTTAGTCTTCCATAAGATAGAATCCTGTATAGTGTTAGAAAGGAAGAAGTTTTAGCCAGACATGGTGGTACAACTCTGGGATGCTGAGGCAGTAGGATCACAAATTTCAGCCCAGGGCAATTTAACGACTTAGTGAGACCCTGTCTCAAAATTTAAAAAAAAAATTTTGAAAAAGGGGAGAGGCTTAGTGAGGAAACCTTGTGTTCAATTCCCAGTTTGGGAAAAAAATAATAAAATCAAAAAAGAAAAAAAGAAACTTTATTCATGGCTTATTTTCAGACAGAATTCCTTTAAAAGTGCAAGGTCAAGTTTGCAATAGACTTCCTTGTTCTCTCCTTGTCATACCGTATCCTTGCTATGTATTTCTTTTGGAGAAATTTTAGTGATATGTGCCATATGAAATAAAAAGTGGTCATCTGTAAAAGACATTAGAGTAGAAAGATCCAATATTTATGTGGCACGTTATCTGCTTTCTTCATAAATTTAATATTCATACATATATGGTAGTATTTTTCACATGAGAAAGCTGAGATTTTGAGATGTTAAAAGATTTATCCAGATCTGCATGAAGATTCCAGCAGTGAGAGAGGGCAATAATCCCCTCATGGAGGGAGGATCGGCCCAAAATTCAGATAAAACATCAGCAGGAAGATGGAATCTAAGTATGGTGCGAATCTGGCTGGAATAAATGTGCAAAAGAATGTGTAATTTAGGTGCTTAGATGAATTGGTTTTAACTCTGTAATGATATTTGGTGCAAAGAGGCACAATAATTGTTTTGGTTTGTTTTCTGAGTTATAGGCTGCATGTGCTAAATAATCCTATGTGCCTTGTGCTTTCATCTCATTCTCTTGTCTTTTACAGACAGAAAATCTTATTATCTGCATATAATTATTTCTAATGTTTATTTTACTTCTTAATTTTAATTCTTTTTTTTGTTGTTGTTGTTTTTTTCTCCGGTACCAGGAACCGAACTCACGACCTTGCACTTGCCAGGCAGGCGCTTTGCCGCTGAGCTAAATCCCCAGCCCCCTTAATTTTAATTCTTTATAATTCATCTCTTTGTGTTGGCTTATTCCATTTAATGGCTTGAAATTTCAATATGTCAAGTAATTTCAATAACTAACAATCTTTGTAAATGGAGAATTTGTGTTTATTACCAATAAACACAATACTGACATTTAGAAAAAATTTTTTTGCATCATCATAGAGAGTATCTCCTATACCTATTTTTCTGCAGATTATACTCTAGTAGAAATAGTGCTAAAAGAATCAAGTATCATATATAGTTCTGTGAGTTTTAGCACAAATCTAACTCATGTATCCTCTACCACCTTGAGGACATAGAACAGATATAAAAGACAAAAACTGAAATACCCTGAGTATAGCCTCAGATGTCTGGCAAGCTGTAAAACAGCATCACAATCACTTTATGATGAATGCCCACCCCTTGATGTCATTGAAGAACCTAAAGAACACTATTGCTTCACTTGCTGTTTGTTGACATAAAATCCAGTGATACTGGAGGTACCAAAGCATAAGGCTTTAGTCTACCGCTACCTTTCCTGTAGCAATTTGGATTACTATGCTAACAATTACCCAGGTCAATTTTCAGGGACTTGATGTTAGCTTTATCTGATTCTTCACTTGGGCCTGCAGGTATCTGATGGATGACAGGAAAGGAAAAATCATATCTAGCTGTTAAAGACCATCAACCCAATCAACTTGTTTGTGGAGCAATGCTAATATTAAATGAAAAAGCTATCAGTGTGAAATGCATCAGTATTTATACAGAGACACTTTACCTACAAATGGAAACACCACTAAATAAGGCATAATTAGGACCACATGTGATTTTAAATATGTAGTACTAAAACAAATCTAAAAGTGTACTTTGATTTAGTACAATTGTCTTAATGTTTTATATGTTCTTAGCCATTTAGGTTGGTTTTCAATCTGTATGTATTATAGTTAGCTTTATAAGGCCTTATAAGATAAATAAGTGAATCTTATGCTGGAAGAATGAAAGGGGTGGAGGGAAGGAGGAAAATAAATTGTAATATGTTATGTTCATGTATCAATTTCCTATAGCAAATGTAAGCATTATATATGGCAAATATGTACTAATAAAATTTTAAAAATAGACAAATATTGGATTCATATATACACATACTATATGTATTTTTAAATTTATAAATATTTCACAAACTAACACATGAAGTAGAATTAGTAATTATAAAAATGTGAATAACACACTTTATGAATTTAATCTAATGGACAAGCATAAGATACTATATCAACCACTGATATATACTCATTTAAAAGACACTGCGGGCTGGGGATTTAGCTCAGCAGCACAGAACCTGCCCGGCAAGTGCAAGGTCATGAGTTTGATTCCCATTCCCGGAAACCACCCCCCCACCAAAAATACTGCATTTCTAATTTCAAATTCCATACTATAATGACTATAAAAATTCCATACTATAAATGACTGTAGATGTGCTTTGTATAAATACTAACTATTGTTTGTAAAAGAAGGCACTAATGTCTAGTAGGACTGCTGAGAATTTCTTCCTGAATTCATCCAAAATATTACTTAAAGTAGAAATCAGTAAGTGTCTGATGAACTGACTGTACACTGAGTATATTATCATTACCACAACCAAATAATATTTTAAGTAATAAAACTAATAATAATATTCCAAGCCAGGTATGATGGTGCACACCTATAATCCCACCATTCTGGAAGGCAGAGGCAGGAGGACTGTGAGTTTGAGTCTAGGCTAGGCAAATCAGCATTTTAGGGGTATCTGTCTCAGAATAAATTGGGAGTGGAGCAGGGATATAGTACAGTGCAAAGGCCCTGGGTTCAAACCCAGTAACAAAAGGAAAAAAAACCTATCATCTGGGGAAGTAATTATATACTTGTTCCATTAGAGATGGTGCTGGTGATATATTTGTGTCTTTATTCTTAAGAGTAGTTCTTTTAAATGTCCTATTAGCCCTCTCCATATATCCTTCCCTTAAATGTAGGTCATATGTGAGAATTTTTAAGATGTATTGGGTTCACTTTCATTGTGTAGTATAGGTTCAGGAGGTGGGTGGGGTCAGCTCTACTCATGCCCTTCTCTGCATTTCTGTGGTTTGTGCTACACGTTTCCTGCTATTTTGACATTTGGAGCTGAATATGTTTCATAGGTATCTTATTTACTCCTCAGTTAATGAAGAGAAAAACTTTTGTCACGTTGCTTATTCTCCAT